CTCCGATTGGATTCATCTGAAAGAAGGAAGTCATATACGCCTAGGATGGCTTGAGGGTGAGTAAATAATAGGGTTGGGTACCGAAACCCGTTACCAATATGGCACCGGTACCTATGTATGTACTAGAACCGAATCCGAACGCAGATTTCCGTGCCTCATTTCGGTGCCATGCCTGAGCGATCGATTGAAATATTTTTCCTCTGGTTCTTTATAACATTTTTACTCCACAACACCAGTCAAATGCTTCCTTTTGGGTTAAAGGTGTGAAATATTGCATAAATTACATTTGACTGAAATGCTTGTATTGAAACATTTTGCATTCAACCTATGATAAAACTTTCAAGGTCTTCTACATTAACTGTTCCCTCCTGGTGGAATGACCTTCCCAGCTCAATCCAAGCAGCTGAGTCCTTAATATTTTCAAGAAACAGCTGAAAACACAGCTATCTTCATTTGACCCTCTAACTCTAGCACTCTCTATTCTAATGCTACTTCTAATTTTATCTGCTTGTTTTTTTTTTATTAAAAAACTTGACCCTCTAACATTTGCACTCTCTATTCTATTTCTATTCTAATGGCCAATCCATCATTTTTTGGGGGGAATTTTTATTTATTAATTTTTTTTTTAATAAGTATCGGTTCAGGCACCGTTTAGGCACCGGAAACCGTTTTAAAAGTATCGATTTGGCACCGGTATCGAAAAAAAACCCAAACGATACCCAACCCTAGTAAATAATGGGCTAATTTTCATTTTTGGGTGAACTATCTCTTTAAGTAGTTTGTAAATGCATCAATAAACATGAAGCTTACTGTACTCGTGCTCCTATACTAAACAAGGGTTACTAAAATTAGCCTGTGGCCTATTGTGTAGTAGAGTTAATCTGACAATCTTAAGGAAACATGACCTTCTCTAATTGAGGACAATAAGTGTCTAACACATGCCATTGATTTTGAAATTTATATCATCACTCAATATACTGTAGCTAAAAAACGAACAGCTAAAAGACAAATAATTTGTTTTATTATTAGAAAATGGTTCAATTAAAACTTGAATACTCACCTACTAAGATTGTCACTACTTGGTTGTTGGCATACAGCTCGATCTCTCTCAGCCACTCAGGAAGGCACCGGAAGGAATCTTCACAGGTGATGTCGTAGGTGAGAATAAGGGCATTGGCACTGCGGTAGTAACTCTGGGTAATTGAGCGGAACCGCTCCTGCCCGGCCGTGTCCCAGATCTGGAGCTGTGGGAATAAGCAGATCAAATAATCAGTGAAGTCACTTAGCACTTCTTGCAGAACCCAACACAAACTACAGCTTTCAGTCTATTTCATTAGCAGGAAGTGCACTGAAATGCGGAAAAATGCCCAGAGGTGCACAGACACAAGGGCTAAATCAGTCAGTGTTCCAGTGGTCTTAATGGCGATTTTTCACTGTGTGGTATGACTCGGCTCGTCACGGCTCGGCTCAGTTTGCGTTTCCACTGCAGTTTAGTACCGCTTTAGAGTGGGAGGGATTATTCACATGTCGTCATAGTTGCGCCGCCTCTACTGCCGCGACTCCTATAAAACTTTTCATTCCGCGTCGCCCCATCAAGCTCTCGCTGGATCCGCTCCTCTGCTATCAACGTATGGCAAGCCGTTTTGACTTTTATTCATTCTCAGGATATGAATTCTTGATATCAACAACTCAATTTTTACTAGTTAAAATGTTAATTCTTGATATCAGGAATTAGATTTCTACTAGTAACAATTGTTATTTTTTATATCAGCAATTACATTTCCACAAGTAACAATGTTAATTCTTGATATTAACAATGACATCATCACTCGCAGAAATTGAATTCTTGATATCAGCAATTAAATTTCTACTAGTAAAAAATATTATTCTTGATATCAATAATTTATATCCTGGGAATGGCAATAGGCAAGCCGTATTGACTTTTATTAATTTGCTGGATATGAATTCTTGATATTAACAACTCAATTTTTACTAGTTAAAATGTTAATTCTTGATATCAGGGATTGGATTTCTACTAGTAACAGTTGTTATTTTTGATATCAACAATTAAATTTTCACTAGTAAATATGTTAATTCTTGATATCAAGAATTAAATTTTCACTAGTTAAAATGCGAACGTCTGTACTTCCTCAACAGACAACGAAACAGCCATTTTTTGGTTGTTAAAAAAAGTTGCGCTTGTTCAAAACAGTTGCGTTCGATCCTTCACTGGCTTAAAGGGTTAGTTCACCCAAAAAGTCTGTCATTAATTACTCACCCTCGTGTTGTTACAAACCCGTAAGACCTTCGTTCATCTTCGGAACACAATTTAAGATATTTTTGATGAAATCTGAGGGCTCTCTGACCCTCCATAGACAGCAAGGTAACTACCACGTTCAAGGTCCAGAAAAGTACCAAGATGATCGACAAAGTAGTCCGCGTGACATCAGTGGTTCAACTGTAAAGTTACGAAGCTACGAGAATACTTTTTTGCGCAAAGAAAACAAAAATAACGACTTTATTCCACATTTTCGTCTCTACTGCGTCACTTTGGACGCGCGTTCACAACAGTATCATGACGCGAGCGTGTGGCGGCGCTGACCCAGATCCGGCGTGATGACGTCGTAGCTTCATAACTTTACAGCTGAACCACTGATGTCACACAGACTACTTTGTCGATCATCTTGGTACTTTTCTGGACCTTGAACGTGGTAGTTACCTTGCTGTCTATGGGAGAATTTTCATTTTTGGGTGAACTAACCCTTTAAATCTAGCGGTTCTGTAGTGTCTCTGTCGTAAGTTCAGTGACACAGGTAGTGACGATTCTCTCCGGCCAATCAGTGATCAGCAGAGTTTACACGTCACGTTTTGGTAACGGTACCGTCCTGTTTTTATACAGTCTATTCGGTTCACTTGAAACCTCAACCGAGGTGGTACTAAAAAAAGTACCAGGTACTGTAAAAGGGCCATTATTTATAAATTGATGCTTACTAAATTTCAAGGCCAATATTATTCACATTTATACTGTTAAAAAAGATATATAACACATATTGTCCTGAATATAAGTAGCATTATTTTTATCATCTGAATCATGCAGCTACTTATATTCCAAAGTGACTTAAAGGGGTCCTATTATGCTTTTTCACTTTTTCAACTTTATTTAGTCTGTAATGTTGCTGTTTGAGCATAAAAAAAGATCTGCAAAGTTACAAAGCTCAAAGTCCACTTCAAAAGGAGATATTTTATTTAACAGAAATCACTTTTCAAAAACTACAAAGAACGACTCGTTTGGACTACAACGCATATTTTCCGGGATTTGTGATATCACAAATATCGACGAATGGGACGAGACCTGGTTGAGCTGCACTAGAGAAGGCAACGAGTGTTATCACTATGTCGGAGACATAGCTTTCCCAAGGCAGACAGACTTAGAATGGTTACAATCATCGGGGTTTAAATCGCGCTCAAATTGATTTGATTTTGACACAATATTTACACTGAAGCTCACAGGCGGCTATGGTAAGGGGCATGACATTTCCCGACCGGGCGCCGAGTGCTGCCAATCACAACACACACTGGCCCAGCTAACCAATCACAACACACACTGGCCCAGCTAACCAATCACAACACACACTGGCCCAGCTAACCAATCACAACACACACTGGCCCAGCTAACCAATCACAACACACACTGGCCCAGCTAACCAATCACAACACACACTGGCCCAGCTAACCAATCACAACACACACTGGCCCAGCTAACCAATCACAACACACACTGGCCCAGCTAACCAATCACAACACACACTGGCCCAGCTAACCAATCACAACACACACTGGCCCAGCCAACCAATCACAGCACATTTCGTATTTCAGAAGGCAGGCCTTCATTTGATACAGGAACTATTTGAGCCGTTCATGCCAGACTGGGGAGAGAGGTGTTGTAATAATGTAAAATATGTAAAAAATAATGTTTCTCGAACAACCTAGTATGAGAGCCTGTTCTAGTACACCCCCAAAACAAAATCAAGACTCTGTAAAAGAGCATAATAGGATCCCTTTAAAATATAATATAATGCATGTCAAGCACACAAAATGTGCAAAAAAGTATGTACGTTTATTTGTATAGTGCAGTGGTGGCGAACTCCAGTCCTGGAGAGCCGCAGCCCTGCAGAGTTCAGCTCCAACCCTAATTAAAACTCACCTGCCTGTAGCTTTCTAGTAACCCTTCAGACCTTGATTAGCTTGTTCAGGTGTGTTTGATTAGGGTTGAAGCAAAACTCTGCAGGGCTGCGGCTCTCCAGGACTGACGTTCGCTTAACTTCGCCACCCCTGGTATAATGCATTGTCCACACCGGTAAGTGCCCGGCTGTTTCAGTTTCGCTTTAAATAAATTAGTTTAGGTTTGACACTTATAATAAATGTTGTTTATAATGAATGGCATAACTTGTTTTATACATATCTGTTCCATTCCTGTTCTGTTCTGAATACTGTTCAATTTAAAGGATTTGTTTTGGAGTGAGCAGAACTAAAACACAATGTTGTTTTATTTACCAATATTTCAAATAATTTCTGAAAGTAATATTATAATGTGATTTTAATGTGATTATAATGTGACCAATGCAATTTTGATCCAGTGCGACTAGTGAGGCGTGACTTCCATATCAAAAAATTTTTTTTTTTAAATGACAGAAATAACTTAATATAAAATATACACTGAAAACTACAAATTAAGTAAAATAAAATGAAAACTATAAATAAAAAATAAAGCACTTCAAGTCACTATTTATTTATTTATGTATGCACGCATGCATATGCAATAACCACAATATTCCAATCAAATTTCCACACAGTTACCTAAAAACTAAAGAGGCTTACCCACCTTCACTTTCACTCCTTTTATTTCCACAGTTTTAATCATGAAATCAACTCCAATGGTGGCACCTTGTCCAGGAGGGAACAGCCCCTAGGAAATGCAAGATGCAGAAGTTTAAATGAAACGATTATTATAAAATTATAATTATCAGTGACCGCAAATTCTATAAAAATACGGACGCATTGCAAACCTCTAGTGTTGTTGCATTATTATAGGTAATGCAATGAGTTATTCCACACACCTGAGTGAAGCGTCGGACGAGGCAGGTTTTGCCCACTCCTGCATTTCCTATCAGCACAATTTTGAATAAGTAATCATAATCCTCCATCCTCACGCTCAGCTGAGGGAACATGAATGAAGAGAGAGACAGGCAGATCATATGTGGGTGTTAAGAACTACAATGCAAACTACACATGGCTGAGCAACATCCCTCTGATAAAACACTGTTTGAAGTAAAAGAGCTGCAGCAGCCCTTACAGAACAAACATTTCAATGACACAGTGATGTATTACTGAGAACAAACGAGGGGAAAAAACTACGCCTGATGTCTCCAGGGACCATTTTTTGCTGGCCATTCTTTAATTTATTAGATCAACAGTGCATCTGCCTCTGTATTTCACTACACACATTAGCAGTGTTTGTTTCTGAAGTGTTGCTATAGGAGAAGCTGCTATGCATGTGCTCGAACGCTGCTGTTGCCAAGGCCTATGGCAGGATGCTGTGAGGACCGCAATAAAAACACAAGGAATAAAGAACAACTCCCAGAGGCCTGTCAACACACATGCATACACGCAAACACACTTTCAACAGCTAATTCAGAATTATGGTGGATGTAAGCATACAAAATTTAAAAGAAATACAACTGAAAATTGGAAGTTGAGCACAAACAGACCTTTTAAAATACATTTTTGATTCAATTGTAATTCGACTGAATTAGCTGCATGAATAAACATTCCAACGTTACACAACCAATGTCATCGCCACTGCAAAAATAATTTTCTATCAAATAAATCATTTTAAATAAAAAAGAAATAATACTATATTAATTTAATTATCTATCATTGTTGTTGTTGTTGTTATTCACTACTGCAAATATATTTGATCTTATTTTGTATGTAATTAATATTTATTAAAAAACAACAGTAGAGACAATTATTAGTCGAGGTCGTGCTCAGAGTCACAATTACATTTGATCATTTTGCACAATTTTTATTTTAATTATTTATTTATTGGGAAATAATACTATATTAATTTAATTATCTATCATTGTTGTTGTTGTTGTTATTCACTACTGCAAATATATTTGATCTTATTTTGTATGCAATTAATATTTATTAAAAAACAACAGTAGAGACAATTATTAGTCGAGGTCGTGCTCAGAGTCACAATTACATTTTATCATTTTGCACAATTTTTATTTTATTTATTTATTTATTGGCATTTAATTTGCACTGTTTAATAAACTTTTTATGCTGGTTAACCCTCACATTACCACATATTGCAACAACATGAACATAACTTTTGACTCTCATAGAATGAATAACAAACCTTCTAAACTGTATTTCATTTTCATCCAGAAATCAACATGTTGAAAACAGATGAAATATAACCTCACTGTTCCTTAAATATTAAATGTTATGACTGCAATATGTGCTATATGGGAATAATAAGGATATTAAATAGCAGAACAGAAAAAAACAATACTTTATTGAGCCCTACTGGGTTAGATGAAAACATATCTGATAGCAGAAAACTGAAATCTGATATGCAATTTCTCTGAGCAGAGCAAAAGATAGAAAATACACAGATGTGGCCTAATTCTTTCCCTTTATATTTAAACCCTTTATAAATAGTGAAAACTGCACATTTTATTTTATGATTAAATAAAACCTGCAGGCACAATGTTCTCCATTAGCTAGCAGGATGCTCTAAACATTAAAGGTCACATTAAATCATCTGTACACTTACCAAATGCAGGGGATTCACCCCACTGCTTCTATTATTCCGAATGCATTCAGTCTTTTCTCCAGGCTTTTAATCTAAGAGATAAGAGCAACCGTGCAGCGCCAAGAGCTAGAGCAACCTCGGCAGATTTTCGGCTCCAGTGTTGCACAATGATCGCAGAGTTTCCTCGGTTTTTTTGACAATGACGTCATGCTGCTTCCCCAGTGGAAGCCGAGTCCAGAAAACATCGCCGCTGCATTCTGGGATTTGTAGTTCAAATGTAACCAGTGTAAATGGCAAAATAGAAAGGCAGGGGTGAAAAAGAGGTTAAAGAGTTGAAGAATTGATTTGATTTAAATCTCTCTGTTTGTACTTCATTTGCTTAAATTCCCATTCGGCCAAACAAATACATTTTCTAAATCAAACTATAGCTACAAAAAATGACCAAAAATATATTTGCTAAAATAGTTATGCTAGTATTTTACAGTAGTTATTTGCTAGTATAGTTATAAACAAATATAGTTAAATAAAGTAAATATATCCCCCTCCATATACTGCAATCCATGAAAATACATTCACATACTTCATTTGTCTATAACATGTCATATGAATCTAGTTCTGATCTAGTTCCATCCACATTTGCATTTAGTCTAAATGTAAGCTACTGTAAGACTGGAAACGTACACTGAAATCCATTTTGAAATTATATGAAAGTTGAAACTAAATATATTTCCAATTTCAAAAATATATTTAATTCAGCTTCACTGTTAAATATATATATATTCGCCGTATGGTTTGATTACAATTAGAGGAGGGTCTTCCAATGACCTGCAGCAAATAAGAAAAGCTTGTTCATAGATTTTCATATTTGGATGATCCAGATGATCTCTCCGGAACACTTAAATCCGCCATGTGTTTCTCACCGGACCGATTTTAATTTCCGCCTAAACATTGCCCTTGATTTCCTCTAGGAGGTGATATGGAACGTTAAGTGTCAAAAGGGTTTCTGACTTTAGAAGAGCCTGTTATTTGGCGAAATGGGCCTTCTGCCTGACGAAGCCAAAGTTTTGCCTCCTCCGGGGATCGTCAACAGAAATTCAGTGTGGTTCGGGCTGTGCGGCTGGGCGACTGCAATGCTGCACAACAGTTTAAACCGCAGGCCTGCGCTCAAAGCCGGTGAGAACACATCTAACGTACACCAATGCAATTATAATAAATTATATCTGTAACATCAACATATTGTAATTTAATTGTATAATAATAATAATAATAAATGAATGCGTTCGTGGTTGACTTCATTTGCACAAATGAACTGCGGTACAGTCTTGGTGATAATTGAACATCTATGTGGTACTGAATGAATGCCACAGTCATATACCTTGATATTTACATGCTAACGTTACCTCGTCAAAAAATACCATGGTTACTATTATTTTTATTACCTAGATCAGTGGAATTGCTGTTGCATTCCTTCTTATTACTTAATTAAAGCATTAACATTGCTTGTGACTGCATATGCAAAATGTGATGTAAACTTAATGCAGCAGTAATGCCAGCTTTAATGCATTTACTTTTCAAAAAACATCAACAAATTTAATTCCCCTCACCAATTAAGTTAGCAACATTTTGAATGAAAATTAAAACATCAATTGTATTCTAAAACATCAAGCATTCAATTTGATTATGCAAACATATATTTGAATGTCTAATGTTTTTCTTTCTTTTTTTATTATATATATATATATATATATATATATATATATATTTATATTTTCAGGTGTTCACCGCCAAGCGCTGTTCATAACTGTTGGATGGTTCATTGGTTATCATCTCACAAAGTATGAGAATTATAAATATGCCACATTGGACAGGGACATGAATGAGTACATCCGGCTGCATCCTGATGAATTTCCAGAGAAAGGTAACAGCACATGGAAATCCAGCCACATTATAGTGTGTTATTTTCTGTCTTGACGTTTTCTTTATATTTAAGTTGTGTATGTCGCCACAATACTTTGTCTTTCAACTTTTTTATTTCACTTTCTCAAACCAGAACCGAAGACATTTGCTGAAATCGTGGAGCCTTTTCATCCAATCCGTTGAAAGGATGTAGTTGTCACAAGGAATGTGAAGACTACAGTTGCAAATCAAATCTGGTTGAACCGAGTTTACAGTTAAAATGCACTTATATTAATTTATGAAGTTGTGTCCTCAATGTCATTAAACTATTTGGAAAACAAAAAATCTGATTTTTTAAAGTTATTTTTTCCAATGAACAATTGGTTTTTAGATTACCAGATTATTTTAATTTTATGGATCATCAAAACAAAACAAGATCATATTTTACCCACCCTCAAAAAAAAAAGAAAAAGCAAAATGTCTCATTTGTATTCCGTGGAAGATATACCGTTTGAATGACAGTACTTTCATTTTTGGTCAACAACTGCTTTCACAATTAGTTTAGTCTTGTTCATGTGTGTATGTGGGATACTGATTATGCATCTGATGTCCTTCAAAGTGTGTTTGGCATAATGTCAGAAAGCATGTTGCAAAGACATGCATAAACAAGGCCATCAGAATCTCTGAAATGATTGTTCAAATAATTGTGACAGCACTGAACAGCATGACATTTGAGGCTGTGCTTTCATGTCACAAATGATTTCAGCTAGACTTTGGCATGGATATTGTTCCGATAGCCTGTCTCGTGAAATAATGAGCAATCCCAGGAGTTTTGCTACAGATTCAGTTGCTCTTGGTTTACTTTGGAAGGTTTCATCTATTTCTCATTTGACATAAATTCACAGTTAAAAGCTGAATTATTACAGTAAAAGGAGCAATATAAGCAATATTATAGGACTTTATGTAAAGGTAGTGTGTGTGTGTGTGTGTGTGTGTGTGCGCACGCATCAGGGTTATTTAATACAAAATTATTAAAAGTATTTTTGTTAATTGAAATAAAGCTGAAATAAAATATATGATTAAAAAAACTAGAAATGTTACTTTGGAAACTAACTGAAGTAAGTTTAAGATGAAGCACTAAAATTACTAACTGGGCATAAATAACTAAAACTGAAAAAAAATTCTCCATTTAAATGGGACTCATTAAATATGATATAAATAATACTAAAATAACACTGGTGTACACAGTAATTTGGCAATATTACGTCAATTGTCTTTTATTATTGGCTTGAATTTGTAGCATCTCGATGATTTCACTAGCTGGTTCTGGTTATTTTGACTGACATTTTAATACGTGAATTTCTTTTACAATATATGATACGCAAATGATGTACGGTTAAATCAAGTGAAGGCCTTTAAAGTGTTTCAGTGATCTTGTTTATGTACTATACAAAATTGTGTTAATTAAACAACGAATCTCATAACCTAATACACTGCAACCCCTAATATTGGAGGGAAACAGTTTGTCTATTTTAAATTGTAGAAATTTTTCAGAGGGATTTCCATTTACAATTGTTCACTAATAATCTGTGTACAGAATGTAAACCCAAATTACAAGCCAAATATAATGGATGTGTAAAAAAATATATATATATATTTAAATGTTTAAGAAAATATTATTTTATATACAATTCTGAAACAAAATCATTTGTAATGTTTTTAATTGCATGTCACATAGATGGTGACAAGGATGTAAACAGCTTTCCAGGTAATTGCAACCACCCAAGATGGATGTTTTCTCAAGATGTGCTGAATCCTAACGGCTGATCCCGATGATGTCCAAGTATTTCTCAGTCAAGTTCTGGGACTTCTTCGTGAGCGTTGCCATGACTGTGAACAGGCCTCGCAGATGGAAGTGGAAAATCTCTTCGGGTTCGGCCTCCAGCAGAGGCTCCAGGCCTTTGTGCAGGGTGGCGTGACTCTTGGCTTTGACATCGTCATGTGGGATGAGGCCGCTCTCCACCGTGTTCTTGATGGCTTTCAGCAGAAGGTAGTACTCGTACAGGTCCATGCTGTTGTCAGCAGCCTCACAGTCCGAACTGTCATCGTACGGCACATCTCTGAGGAGGCTGGGAAGCAGGACGGTCTGCTCCATATTGTGCACTGCTGTGCCGTACCGCCTCAGGGCCAGCAGCAGAGAGCTTCGGCTGAACTTGGCATCGACAGACTGCATGGTTGTTGGAGGAGGGTTTCAGGCTCTTGATTAGATGGTGTAGCAGCCGGGGCCTGGATGCAGTGCAAAATCTGAAGAAAGAGGCTCTTTTTATAGCGTGTCTGACAGGGGCCGCATGGAGCAGTTATGCAACATAGTGGCCTGATCTGCTAGTGGTTGAGTTCAGTTAAAGCACCCCCTTGAGCTAACCCCCCCTCCCCCTTCCCCTTATTTCTTCACAGCGTGACATTCTGGCTGCCATGCTGAGACCGAGCAGTTTACTGAAGGCCACTAACCCCAGAATGGTCATTTACATCAGACCATCCCTTGTGAATAAGAAGTGTGCTTAAATGTGTACTCGTAGTGTACTTCAAGTCTAAAAAGTATATTAAAAAAAACTGTAGAAAGTGCAGATAATATAAGCTTAAAACTGAAATAAAAAATAAATCAGCATTTTGTAATAATGTCCAATTAAAAGTTTGACTTTAAAGTACATTTTAAATCATTATGTTTTAAAGATCAGTTGTCATGCTTTAAAGAAGTACAATTATTTTGATGTGTTGACTAACGTAATAAAGCACAGGTAAAGTACTTGATTATAATGTTAACTGTAGTGTGTCATTTTATATTACATTTGTTAATATATTTTATCTGTACTAAATTGCAACCTCATCCTAACAAATGTGTAATTACAAATATATTTAAATACATAACATACAAGTTTCAATAGAAAAGACATTCAAGTATGTTTTAGTTTAATGCTTGTGTACATTCAACAGTACACTTTAATCATATTTCGAAGACAATAAAAGTAAATATGAAATTACATATAAAGATGTACTTAAGTTTTACTTCAGTGGGTAAAAAAGCACTCTTAAATTAATTTTAGTTTAATTATAAATAACATGCAATTAAGTGTCCAAAAATATTGCATTCTGTTTACACTTAAGAATATTTTTTCATAATAAGTACTCCTTTGAAAAGTACACTGACAAAAATGGTAAACTGAAAATTAAAGGTAACATCTAAATTAACTGGTTTAATTCACTCTAAAATACTATTTA